GGAAATAAGGCAAAATTTGTTTTATTTCCAACCTTTGTTGGAAATAAAGCAAAACTCAGATTTTGGTATTATTTCCCATTTAAAAGTGAAACAAAGCAACCTTTGTTGGAAATAAAGCAAAACTCAGATTTTGGTATTATTTCCCATTTAAAAGTGAAACAAAGCAACCTTTGTTGGAAATAAAGCAAAACTCAGATTTTGGTATTATTTCCCATTTAAAAGTGAAACAAAGCAACCTTTGTTGGAAATAAAGCAAAACTCAGATTTTGGTATTATTTCCCATTTAAAAGTGAAACAAAGCAACCTTTGTTGGAAATAAAGCAAAACTCAGATTTTGGTATTATTTCCCATTTAAAAGTGAAATAAAGCAAATTTTGCGTTATTGCCGTTTGTGTTATTTCATTTTTATATCGTCACCTGAAATGGAAATGGACGTAATAAACATCATCGTTGAAATGCAAAAAGTCATAACTAATAAAAAATTCACAATTCACTTTTTAACCGACTTCCAAAAAAGGAGGAGGTTATCAGTTCGTCGTTCGTCAACCGATTTCGATAATTCTTTTTGCTTCGGAAAGGGAGTGTCTCAGAGGTGGTCCCATACTGGTTTAGATCTGATCTTTGGATCATGAAATATATATATATATATATTATTTTTTTAAGCCGATTTTTTTTTGCTAAAAATTACTTGTTGATTAATATGATGGATTTCATCGAATTACAACTCCCCACATCATTTTATAAAAAAAATAAAATAAAATAAAATATTAGTCACGACATTTTGCATTTCATTTACGATGATGTTACGTCTTTTTGCATTTCAAGTGGAGTCCTACCGATTCCAATTTTTTTTCAGGTACCGACGCCGATGCCGATTCCATAAAAAATTATAAATAAATGTATTAATTCATAATATCAGTTAATTTAAAGGATGTAACAAACTCTCTTTGGCCGGGGTAGGACTCAGTCGGACCCGGAGTTCGTATACAAGAATATCCTCCGCGTTCTATATGTCGTCGCTGGCTTCCCAATGTGTGATCGTCTCCGGTGTCTTCAAATGCTGTTTTGGTGATGGAAATCACCACTCGCTGCCGATGGATACCGCCGCTGTTATCTATCGATTCACTTGGGAAGAACTAAGCAAGCCGCTGATGCTTTCGCTGCTCTTTTAAGCAAAGTCGGTCTAGCTGTACTCTGGCGTGATCGCAGGTCCGCTATCCTTTTTTTTCCGCTTTGCTCCGTATATATTTGGTTGGGTTTTCTTGCGCCGCGGCGGTGCTGGTACATAATTGTTGGCATTGTTAGTGTCGTTCGCTGTTGTTGACGAAGTACATAATC